ATCAGCTAACGCAGTTAACTACCCAGGGACAAGCACATGGAAAAAAAAGTCATAGCAATAGAAGATGGGGACAGGATCCAATGGCTTTCCAGTGAAAGTAACATGTTGGCATCAGGTCCGGTGACCTATCAATCTCTGTTTTAGTGGCACTTCTCTCCCCATCTCCTGACAAAGACCAGAAATTGGCTATTTTTGAGCATGAAGAGCAAATGTAGCTCAAACAGTCAAATACAGGAAGAAAACGACACCACAAACATATTGTGGGCTCTTGGCACCTTGTAATATATAGGTTCAAATGAGGCAGAGATTACATGAAAACCTTGTAAGTAGAAAAGGAGAGGAATCCAAGGATATCTTAAATCCATGCGTCTGAAGCTCCAGCTTGAAAAACCAGTAAGTGACTGAAGTTAGTATTTTTTGTGGACTACAGTCCGAGCACTGCCTGACACAATTGCACGACATCAAGGGGACTTCTAGGCATTGTACAAGCAGAGGAACAAGCAACAGGCACAGACTGACAAGACGATGCTGTAAAACAGGTAACAGCCACAACATACAATGCATTAGCCTACTAAATACTGGACACTGAAAGCTTCCAGGCTCAGTAGCCATGGAATAACATGACTGGAAAGCAAAAATGACCCACTATTGCTAGATGCAAACTAGACACTTTAGGTACTGTCTACATAGCACTACTCCTCCAGTATTTACCCAGGAAAGCCTCTGGGACAAGAGAGCTGCAGATATACAAACAAGCCAGTTTACAGCTGACTCAAGGTATGTCTGCAACCAGTGGTTACAGCCCAGTTAACACTGTTAAATCTGTTGGAAGAAAGGACTCAGAACACATTAGGCAGCTCAGAGATTAAGGATTATTCTTTAAGTTACTTCCCAGCTCACTTTCTCCCCTACAGCTGTTGGTGTTCTTAGTTGCCTTGCATAAATACAAGCTAATTTTGTCATGTGTCTCAAACCAGAAGACAGACAGCAGCAACACTTGATTCTGGCCAAATAAAGCTTATGACTGACCACATTTGAAGGCTATTACTTTTGTTTTACTCACCTGGTTTCTCCTTTGAATTTCAACAAGACAAAAATACAGTATTTTTTCTCTGAAATGTATTGTAATAATATTTCTATTTCTTTCCAAAGTAGCTGCATTTTAGGTACATGCAAACATCTTTTTATCAGTCGGATTTCAGTTGGTTTTGGCCAGTGCTTCAAGTCTTTTTGCAATCAGTGAACTTCATGAAACATACATTAGCACATTTATTATCTCCATACACAGCATTTACTGTAACAAACTGAACTCTGTCATCACTAATGAACACTCAGCAAAACTAAATGAAGAAACAGACTGAGCTATTTCTTACCTCAGATGAAAATCCAGACCTCATCTCAGGGTCAAGGTCAAAAGGAAGAGTTGGGTGTAAATGCAGAAAGAGCCAGACGGCTTTTAATTATACAGTAGTTGTTACGAGACATTTAGTACTTCAGAAAGGTTTATCCACCTGTTCCAATTTACCCCAAGTGCTCACAATCCATGATGAATGCCAAACGGCCCCCCCAAAAAAATCACTGCCATATGGATGCCTAGTTCCATGTCATACATCTACCGAACACACCAACTATAAAACATTCATTCTTTGTCCACCAAAGAAAAATTTCGTAACTGTTGCTATTATTCTTACTGGAAAAAATTTAGTGTGTCCAGCAGGCTGGACAGGTTGAGACAAATTATATATAGAAAGCAACAAATCTTAAAAATACCAGTAGCCTTTAAAGACTGCATATTTGTTATGGTGTTGAACAGAATGTCAAAGACACCCTTGCTATCAAAAGCTTGAGCTTTTCAAAAGCACCGTTTAATCTAATTTGTAGACGTTGAACTAAACTTCTCCCACTCCTGAAATATAATTTCTCAGTTTTGCAAGACTTGTAGTAAGAGTTCTAAGAACTTGATACTGAAGTCAATGAAGTCTGCAAGTTTCCCAAAATTCAAGAGTCTTCATAAACCGTAAGTCTAAAATACTGCAGAGACTAGCTCCACATCTTGTATCAGTGCAACAAGGAAACACAACAGAGGTTTCCAAACTGCTTCAGAGTTTCCACAATTTACTATCCAGTCTTGTAAAGAGATACAATATTCTCAACTTTTCTTGAGAAACACTGACTTGCATCTATTTTTATATGAAGGAGGAGAAGACTATGATGATGTAAAGACAAAACCAAAGCAACAGGTTATCACTACTAATCAAGTTAGTGCCCTTAGTGTTGTGCCTGGATAGATTTGGTCTTAAAAATCAAGCTGGTAGACTAAAAGCATAGGAAAACATCTCTTGCATAAATTACAGTAGCCCTTGTATGATGGCAGCACTTCTCTGCTTGCTTCAGAAGTGGCCCCAGTCTTTCAGTTCCATAAACCATTTGATAAAATCTCTAGCTCCATTTTCATGCAGACAGGGAGAGCAGCTGTTTTGCAGCATGTCTCTCATTCACTGTGGGACAAGTTTGGGATGGAGACCAGCAATACTAACTTCAGTGGCCCGTGCTGGCTTCTTCCCCTCCCAGCCACCATCCCAATTTCTCATAATCCTGATGCCAGTAACGTGGCACAACCCCTGCCAGCGGGATGTGCTTGGGCTTCTCCACAGCTGCATCTTGGCCACATCTGCACTGCAATCACGTGGGCATTCAACACACACTGTGAAATCTTGGCAGTATTGTACTCAATGGCAAAATTCCCATTGATTAAAGCAGCGCCAGAACATCACGTATAATACTTTTACTTGGTCAGAATACCTCCTCTTCCTCCTGAGGCTTGTAAGCGCCATAAATAAAGTTAAAGCAATATAGTACTCAGCAGTTTTAATAGAAGGCCTCCTCTGTTAAACAACCACCAAAAATAGTTGCTTAAAACAGGTTATACTGAACCATAAATGAGAGAAAGCTGCTGAGGATTTTTTAAAAAACCATCACTACTTTTATTGGTTGTCAGTGTTTTCCTGTTAGTCAATAAATGCATTTGATATAGGTGAGTTTCCAAAGTAAGCATGATGGGAGGGCTAGTTTAACATTCAAACTCATTTAAAAAGAAGTCACCTCAAGTTTCCCTTTGGGACATTTATGAAATATGCTGTTAATCTGTTGCACCTAACTTGTGTGTATGTACTGGGAGGTAATTAGTATTGAAATTCAAACAATTTTACCATCTTTATGTTCAACTCAACAAATTACAGTTTCCAACACCTGTTTCTAGCAGTGACAATAGTTTTAGCATTTGCTTAATTTCCAAGCCCAAGCAAAAGATACATTATAAACATATGTGCATGCAGAATAGCCATAGTCAAGCATGAATACCACCACCATTATATATATACAGTCTCACAATATTCCCCTGAAGAATTAGTAAAAAAATAAAGTGATTCTAATATAAATTGTATTACTGGCTTCAGGTATCAGACATCATGAAAGCTTTCAAGGCACTTTCTACAATGAGTTATTTAAAAAGTTGTTTCTGACTTTGCCAAACTAACTCCTTGTTCTAAAACTTTATATGCTGGCTGTCTGCCCTGAAGCTGGGGGTTTGGGGTTTGTTTGTTTGTTTGTTTTTAATTTCAGCCAAAATCCTCCTCCAAGAAGGAGACCACAGAACGCTTTCTTGATTTGCCAAAATGGCATTCTGTCAGCCTCTCCTCCTACTTGAGCACCCTATGCTATGGAGTAAGAATTTAAAAATTGCTGAGAGGTTGTGAGGGAGGAAAAATGAAGCCCAGGAAGTCTAAGCCACAAGTCTTTGAGGAAACATAAAAATAATAACAACGAGGTTTCCACATACTTAACAGAGGCCTTATGATTTCAGAGGCTAAAAGCTTCAAACACTGTGTCTCATTGAGCATATTTTCATCCCTCCTGACTCCCAACAATTACATGTGCATACCATGTCTTCAGAAATCAAATTATTATGCTTTCTGCCAGCTCAGGGTTATAGGTAAATCCAGGGCTACCAGCAACCACATTCGTAGCAAACGCTGCTACAGGCTGGGGTGGGCAGTAGAAGGAAGTGTTTCTCAGCAGTCCTGCTGATGCCAGCCAGATCTCAAAGTAAAATACAGAGGAGACAAACTTAACCAGGACACTTCTACTATTCCCTACCTCATCCATTATAAAACTTCCAAATAAACAAGGACCCCACTGGCAAAAACATCCTTCACTACCTGACCCTAAATCCATCCTCCATATTATGGATTCCTGTAGGAAGAAACTGTTGTAGCTTGTGATATTGTTACCAAAGGTTAAATCACACATCTGCAACTATGGTTCCATGTTCCTGTGTTTTCCTGCACCCGAGTGCTTGATTTTGCACTTCTAAATAGTTTTTGCTGCAGGTAGTTTTGTGTCTAATTTCTGAATGAATACAATCCTGTGGAAACAACACTGCTGTCAGAAGAGAGACAAGTAAGTTTTTTAAAATATGATTGCTCCCAGTAGTTATACACTCATATATAACATTAATGACCCCCAAATCCCAGAACCATCTACAACGTCAAACAGTTTTCAGAGAAAACTGAAAGGAGAAGAGATCAACAATGACTTCTGTATGATGTCACTAATTTGTTAAAACAGAGCATCCAAGTTCTCTGGTTATTCACAGACTTGAGCTAATTCCAGCACACACTTTTGTTAACCTAACGTGCACATATAAAAGGACCTGTCATACAACCAAGGTATGTGAGTAGTTCTAGCAAAATCAACATGACTATTTATATTCATAAAGCCCAGTGTGTACCTGTACTTTTGCAAGACCAGGGAGGTGGTGAAGGGTTAAGGCATTTGTAAATATATTACCATCTGCATTTCACAAGAGCTCTGGAAAAGCTTGGTTTTGCAAGACAGCCTGTAGAAAACCAAGCAAACTAAGACCATGTAGTACAAGCTTTTGATTAATACTGTGTGTACAAGAGTGCAGCAAAACAAAAAGCAAATAATCATACAGAAAGTATTTACCGGTATAGATTTTATTTCTTTTCAAAATAATGGGGTTGGTTTAGATTTAAAATACTTTAGGAATTAACTAAAACAAATGTATACTTTGTTAGAACTTCTGTAAGTGGCGATTTGGAGTTCTGAAAATGTGTGACAGAATACAAGAAAATATAAAATTGGGTTAGCAAAATACAATAACAGAGCTTTACAAGAGGGACACACATTCTATATTATTTTAACTAAGCCTATCAGGTAAACATGCTGTAACAGCTTTCCACTTAGAACGTGTGCCTACAAACTTAATCTGCAACCTGAATCCCAGGAAAAATTCACTTCTGATCAACTCAAGGCTTGCAGGTCCAAGGAAAAAAAAATTCAACTCAAGCTGTGCTTCTTCATTGAACAAATATTCCCTTTTTCCATAAGTATTCATTTTAATAGATCACTATATATCATAAAATTGCACTAAAACATTCTCTTATTATTCATGATTCACCTAAGTTTGTAGCCATAATGTAAGTTACTTTATATTTAGTTTAGTGTTTCATAAAAAAAATACTTCTTTATTGCATCTAGTGAAAAAAAAGCTTTGATGGTTCTTAAAAAAAAAGGAAAAAGGACTTGCTGTTGGCTAATTGCCAAACAATCTCTTCCTGTGGCTTGCTTTTTCAAGGATTATGAAGAAACTCTGGAGTTCATTGTGATCTAGACAACCAAGGATGATTAGTCTGTATGGGAGCAGGATGCACAGTATTTGCTTAAACTCACAAACCTCTCAAATGAGCTAGAAGGATAAAAAAATGTGGTTTGTTATTGTGTCCATTTCCAAAGGTCAGCTCACAAGTTTTCCTCCTCACGTAAAAACTGGAACACAGCTGAGAAGTCTTTCAGGGCATAGCCTTTGGCACACATCATCCTGTAGATCTGATGTGCCTGGGATCCCAAAGGAACCGGTGTCTTTGTATTGGTGGCAGAAATCTGGGCTAAGCCAAGATCCTGTAGGGAGTGAGAAGAGGGAGGAAGAGTGGAGGGAGGAAGAATGGAAGGAAAGAAAAGGAAAAAGTCAGGGGAGAAACAACAAGGATATAAATAGCCATGTATATATTATATGTTATTTGGCTTCCACTGTGACAAGAACTCTACTGCCAACAAATACAATACTTCAGCCTTAAAACTTCAGTCCTGGAAGAAGTGAGTCTTGTTTAATTTTTACTTTTTAAAACAGTAATTCGATGTTATTCAACAGAAAAACCTCAAACTTTGCCAGGCAGACAACCTCCTTAAGAACAGAAAGAATTTTCAGATTCTAGATCACTATACAACCAGGTAACAAGACTCATACTCTTTTTCCTCACTGTGCTACGCTATCTCCAAAAAGAAAATTTCCCTGGATATTCACTTAAGCATTTCATGTAGGTTCCAATAGCATCGTTTTCTTGTTCGGGCAAGATGACTTCTTTGTTTCTACAAACAGGTTAAAAATCAAGCAGAAGGAATTTGAATAACAAGAAAATTGAAGCCATTTTAGCATACACACATTTACTATAATGTGACCAGTTAACAGCAAAATGAGAAGCATAGGCCACTTTGTGAATATGAATGGTTTGCAGCCCAACTGGAAGGATGTATTACAAAATTCCTTAGGGGACAGTCCTGGGTCTGCTACAACTCAAAGTTTTCTTAAATGACTTTTTCTTAAATTACTTTCTCTAATAAAGAGATACAGAGAAAAATTTCACTGCATTTTTAAACACTAAATTTGGGTCAAAAAAAAAGGTGATGTTCAAAGAGGGTGAATTTGAAACCTGTCCTCCAAGAGTCCTTGGTCAACTACATAATCAGAAATAAATAGGACAGTACCCAAAGACAAGTACCAGGTACTATGACTAACCACAGACAGCCAGAAATAGTCAGATGCATGCATGCTGGACAGAAATGACAAGCTAGGCTGGAGGATGTCTCGAGTTCTAAGCTGAGTCAGACACGAAACCAAACAAAGAGCTAACAAGGGCCTGGATATATAAGTAGATCTCTTGTCTAAGTAGGAAAGTAATACCTGCACTCAAGGTTGCCTTTATAAGGTCTTGTTAATTAAATCAATTTTTCTGGTCCATATGCTTCAAGAAAGTTGCAAGAGGACCTCTCAAGCATTACTAGAAGTGCCTAGATTTCCTGTGCATCCAGAGCTATGGTGGTTGATAGAATATGCTGTGCATTTGGGTTTTTTTTTTTTTTTTTAGATTGGAAAGAACCTTAGAGACCATCTAGTTCCAAGACCCTGAGAC